AGTTCGAAAGAAACAAGGTTTGTGGATTGATTCCCACTTTGTGGTTGGTTTAAAATGGGTGTTTCGCAACAAGATGGATAAAGAAGGCAATGTTATAAGGAAAAAAGCGAGACTCGTAGTTAAGGGGTACTATCAGGAAGTGGGTATCGACTATGAAGAAACCTTCGCTCCTGTTGCAAGGTTAGAATCTCTTTGTATCTTCTTGGCATACGCAGCACATAAGAACTTCGAGGTATTTCAGATGGATGTCAAGTGCGCTTTCTTGAACGGAGAATTAGAGGAGACTGTATACGTGGAACAACCACCTGGGTTCGTATATGAGAAGTATCTAGATCATTGCTACATTTTATACAACGCAGTCTATGGTCTAAAACAAGCTCCAAGAACCTGGTATGAAACTCTCACTCGCTTTCTTAAAATGTCCAAATTTAAACAAGGTTCGGTTGACCCAACCTTCTTTCGCAAGAAAGAGGGTGACCACTTAATCATTATCCAAATTTATGTTGATGACATCATCTTTGACTCTACGAATCCTAGCTTAACAGCTGAATTTTGTAAGTTGATGGAGACTAAATTTGAAATGAGATCCATGGGTCCAATTAACTTTTTCCTTGGACTGATTATAAGACAGGGACCAGAAGGTATTTTCATAAATTAGGAAGCATATACAAAAACCTTGCTGGCTAAGTTTGGCATGTTGGGAGACTCAAGATTGAAGGTTCCAATGGCATTCGGAACGAAACTGACACCATCTCTGGGAAAACCTGCTGCTAATATGACTCTTTATCGACAAATGATAGGATCAATGATGTATCTAACAGCTAGTAGACCAGATATTATGTTTTTCGTTTGTTATTGTGCTAGGTTCCAAGCAAATCCTCGCGAACCTCATATGGTGGCAGTCAAGAATATCTTCAGATACCTGAAACGAACCTCATCACTTGGCATATGGTATCCTGCGAAATCAGGTTTCTTCGTACAAGCATTTTCAGATGCTGATCTTGGAGGATGCGGATTACATAGGAAAAGTACAACTGGAGGATGCCAATTTCTTGATGGCAAATTTGTCAGTTGGCAACCTAAAAAGCAAACGTGTGTCAATTAAGAGACTATGGCCTGAACATGAAACGAATCCCTCTTTATTGTGACTCTAAAAGCGTTATTCACATTTGTCACAACCCAGTGCAACACTCAAAGACGAAACACATAGCACTGAGGTATCATTTCATCAAGGATCATGTGGAAGATAGCAACGTTGAAATACATTTAGTTCGATCCGTTGATCAATTGGCTAACATATTCATGAAAGCCTTGCCTGAAACAACCTTTAACAAAATACTCCAAGGCCTAGGAATGATGGAAGCTGAATCAGTTCCAAAACCACTTTTACTTTCATAAATATCACTTTCTCTTTCGCTTTATAAGTTTTTATAAAGCGAATTGAGGCGAACGATCGCTCTAATTCGTTTCTGGTTTTCTCGGGACACAAATTGACACGAACGCTCACTCCAATTCGCTTCGCTCACTCTTTAAAGCGAACTCTCGTTTGGTTACCCAACTCTTTCCTCGTGGTTTGGAACTCTTTGCATCCTTTTATATATTATGTCTTATTTCTTATTTTAAAATTCAAAAATATATTTTTTCTAGTTTTAATTCTTTATCAGAAAAACTAAAATCCAAAAATACTTTATTTCTGTTTTCATTTTTATTAGAAAATCAAAAATACAAAAAATATTTTTCTCTGTGTTTATTTTTAATTTAATTTTTTTTTCACAAATTCTAAAACACCAAAAACATTAGTTAGTTGGGAAGTTCATGAAGGTACATATTCGCTGTTTTTCTTAGTTCGAATAATGGGGCATGTATCATTTCCTTATATATGTACTAGCTAAGTGTCCCTAGAAGCATGCTGCAACATGTAGTCGAAAGCCTCAACGACTCTATGTGAAGCCTTACTGATTCGATATATACAAATCGTTTCTTCCAAATCAGGCTGCTACATTCACTTAAGTCATGAGCTACCATACTCTTCTCACATTGAGTTAAGAGTTATCTGCTTGGTCACATTTGCATAGTAGAGGTACTTTCGTTTTTCTTTAAACCACCTCAACCACTTCTCCATCATCTTTCGCTTTCATGAATGTAACCATTGAGACTCTCAGCATCTACCACTGAGGTTTACGGCTACACAACATCTGTGCTAATGATCTTAGTCTCGTCAACCACGAACTAAGTGAAACCCACAATCCATTACATTTAACGAATTGACGGTGAACAACTGAATGTTCCAGATTTTCACCTAAGAATTACCGAAGACCACTCTCGTGGTTTGTACCAAGGAATCTCTTTTCTTTTTGCGAGATCTTTATGAAATGGTCTAGAATAAAGATATTTCTTCCCAAAAGATCCAGTTTCATTTTTGTTGTTGAGATTTCTACATATTCACCAAGTCACTGAAAAACTTCCAAATCTACTTGATGTTTTGGCTACACTGGCCACACCAGTACTTCATCCAACTTTCGGACTTATATCAAGTTTCGTAGTTCGGTTGAAGATGAAGCCACCCTACAAGCCTAAATTAAAAGACGCCTTTCAATTTTTCTTAACAAACTATTGGTCATACTTCAATGGGAAACCACATAGACACTTCTTAGTCTGTCTTGACTTTGAAGGAAGAGATCGTTGCCCGGGATCCACAGTTTCGTGTCTTTTATGACATCACTACAATCCCATAGATATAATTTGTTTTATTTCCTTTTCTTTGGCATACTCTTGCATGAAAGTCTATTGATTTTCCAAAAGTCTTGTTCGTGGTACTTATGGCATTTTCAGTTTCGTAGATCTAATGATGTTCGCTTTTACACAAGCTTCCTTATGCGAAAAGGTAAATGATAATTTATGGTAACGACTGAAAATTGAAACGTTGGGAACAAGGTAATGCTGACGCGGCTTGTTGAGGATAAGAATTCAAACTTAAGGCGCGTAAAATTTGAAACGTTTTCTATCATCACGCCGCCTGACACCTTTTTAGGGTGTACAGTTGTCAAATCGCGCTTTTTCAGGCGCCGTTTCAGAGGATGTCACGCAATCGTCGATTCAACTAACTCTCTCTTGGGTACTTGTATAAAAGGGATTTATCGGCTACGACGTTACTCTTACCGCTTCCAAATTCTCTCAAGAACCCTAAAGGCGATTTCTTTCTTAACTTTTCATCCTCTTCACGACCTGCAACAATGGCTGAATCTTCATCAGTTGAAGAACAGTCCGCTCAGTCATCTCTTCTCACCATCAAACATAATCAAAACTTGATTCTTGATCTGGATCCATTCAAGTATGACGCATTCATGCTTCCGATCGTCGAGTGCCTGAAATACTCACCATTGGTCACTACTCTAACCAAGGTCGAGTGTGTTCCGATGTCCCTACTGTCCAAAGCCTACTCATCAGCATCGTACATCAAGGAAGAGGAGCGTATTTCTTTTGAGATATTTGAGAAGAACACATCCATCATGAAGGCCAGGTTTTGCTCTCTTCTAGGGCTTGCCTATGTTGACTCAATGGTGAACCCAGATTCAATCTCTACTGCTCAAATTGTGGAGATGTTCTATCAGATGGGATACACTGATCTCATCACCTCCATCACCAAATTCAAGAAATCTAACCTTCCTCTCCAATGGAATGGTCTCTTCACCCTACTCTTCAAGGCTTTTTCAGAAAGGGTGACTGGGTCTGATTACGCCAGTAAGCTTTTCATGACAATCATCTACGGGCTGTACCATGGCATGAATCTTGACTATGGCTCTTTTCTCTGGGCTCAATTGGTCCAAAGCACTAGTTCGACTACTTGGCACAGTGAGATTTCCTGTGGTCGATTTTGGACCATCGTGGTGCAACGAGCAATCGAGAAACTTAAAATTTTTGTAATGGAAGACTCTCTGATTTCATCGATTGCCACATTCCACACTACCAAGATCATAATTGCTGACATGTCCAAGTTCTTATTCGTGGGATCAGCTCCTGAATCCATGTATAGGTGCGTGTCTGGGGCGAGCAAGATCATAACAGTGTACAAGAAGCTTCCAGTTTCAGGACCAAGAGTGCTCACTCCTGAGATGCAACAAACTCTTGATGATGCTGATAAGGTCAAGAAAGGCGGAAAACTGAAACAACAGAAAGATGGTCCATCTGTCCTAGCTCCGACTCCCAAAAAGCGAAAGACAAAAGGAGAGTCTTCTAGGCCTGCTCCCTCATCCACAAAACGTAGGCGAATCACCAAGCCAGTTAGTAAAGTTCGCCTCCCATCAAGGACTTCATCCGAAAGCGAATCTGATGACACTCATCAAAGCGAATCTGAGGATGATGGCAACCAAAACGAACAAGAGGTAAACTTTTCTATTCCCTCACCTCATCCATCTCCTGATCACACCACTACTCCCATTACCATTGCACGTTTCCCACCCCCAATCTCTACTCGACCACAGAGCTCTATTGCTCAACCACCTCCAATATTTACTGATTCAACCACCACCACTACTGAAACACCTCCTACCATTATCGCTCCTATCAACGAACATCCAGTGAATGTCAACATATCTGATACGAGGGCAGGTGCTTCAGGTTTCGCGTCTGGTCATATTACCCCTCCATTATCTCCTTTACGACAGGGAGATGGCGACACCATGTTTGGCGATGACTTGTTTGATTTCAAAATCTTTCAGTATAGTCCTTTCACAGTTCAACAAGATAGCGATGACGATGCCCCTGTTACTTAAAGGCATCTCATAGCTCTAAATGAAAAGTTGGACTCTCTCAAAGCCTCCTCTTCCTCATCCTCCACTACAACATACTCTGAGGCAGCCATCAAAGCCTTGTTCGATACTCTTGTGAAGGAGCATGTTGTCTCCGTGGAAAAAACGAATAAGGCAGTTGAGGCTTCTATTAAAACATGCCAGGATGTGACCGCAAAAGTCGATAAACTAATAAAAGATGCTCAATATTTCATGCAAGAGCTTCGCACTGCTGCTGAGACCGATGTCTCAAATGCAAATACAATTATTGCGAATGTTACTTCAACTCTTACCACCGAGAAAGAAGCACTTCAAAAGGTTTTTTCTGATCTCCAAACGGATCATTTGACCTGCCAGACCTCCATTGCTTCTCAAATCACGAAACTTCAGGAGGATTTGGCGCTTGAAAGTAATATAATGGACGCTCTGGCTGCGAAAACTACAAAGATCAAGTTGCTCTCAACAAATCTCACTACTGCGAAAAATGAGATTCATGACCTCTAATCCGAACGTACTATGATAAAAAGTTGTGTGTTGGATGTCAATGCCCTTCTCTCTAATGTGATTGAGTTCCATGATCTTATGCTCCCTCTAACCACTCGCTGGTACCTTGCTGAGAAACTACGTCCTCCAGTGGCCACACTAAATAGGATAAAAGGTGTTTCGGTGTCTGCGGCCCATCCGAACCAAGGGGGAGAACCAGAGCAATTAAAGAAACCAGAGCAACCAACGAAGTAAAATGAGAATCCAAACAAAAAAGAACCGAAGGATAATGAAGCTTCGGGTTCTAAAGGCAATGAAAAGCTCTTCACTGATGAACGGATTATTGATGATAGCGAAGAAGAAGAACCTGACGAGAATGAGCTGATACGAAGAAAGGAACGCGAAGCTGAGATTGACGAACATCAGCGCATAATTAAGAAGATGAAGAAAAGGAACGCGCCAAACAAGAAGCTCAAGCAACTCTTGAAAGCCGAAAGCTACTTTTTCCAACTTGGACCATGGAGCGTATTACTGCTGAAGCCATTGAATGTCCAAACATTCACTGGCTTGAACCTATTGTCTCGTTCGAGTTAGTGAATACATTAGATTCACAGTTTGATATGTCCATGACTGCGAAGGCTTTTCTTTTTTGCTACTTTGATTCAACAGTGAACACAACTTCGTCAGTTGCAAAAGTTAACAAGACACTGATGGAGTTCTACGTCAGGTATGCGAAACCACAATATGAGATGTGGAGTGCTCAAAAGATTTCAGTTGTGAAGATTACAGGACCAACTCAGAGTGGGAGTTTCGCTAATGCTAAATTCAGAGTAGCACGATGAACGAACAAGGTGGTTCATGAGTTCACTCTTGCTGATCTCCCATGTCTCAATCCGTATGACTGGATTGTCTTGATGCATTTCATGTTGAATGATGAAGACACGTATGGGCCTATATTTAAGCACGTTAAAAGAATGTTGGTGTCTTACGTGAACGAGGTTGCGAAACTCGACATGGAGATCGCTGCTGCTCAGAATAAAAAGCCTATAGTCCTTTCCCGAGCTGTTGCTAGCGATGTGAATAAGATGCAAATGGGGAATATTGACAAAGATCATTGGACTGTAATGTTTCATAAAGGTTCAGTGGAACGAGGTAACCTTGCGTAGTGTTTGTTCGCTTTACTAGACAAACACCTATACGCCACTTCGTGCTTGAAGTATATTCTGGAGATTATAGACGGGTGTCCAGCGAATGATGCAACTTCCAAGAAGAGTTTTTAATGACATGATTCGCTGGTACATTATGTTTCGCAGCACTTTGCTTGCCACTATGCCCAAGATCTTCAAGACTTCAAAGAAAACTCCAAAGTGAAGATCCTCTCGCCTCAATTGACACAAGGGGGAGATTGTTAGGTATTAGATGTTGTGTCATTGGGCTGCTTTATGTATATCTTGTAACCCGGTTTTGGGCCTGTCCAACCGGTCTTTATTTGTAGGGTTAGAGTATTTAAGATGCATGCATCATATTTTGTATGCTTTTTCATAATCTTTATGTAACCCTAATCACGCCTCTACAGTAGAAGTTCTTTTTCGAGCTCTTCTGAGGCGTGACCTTTAATCATTAAGCACATTTTGGATCATTGTCGTGTTCTTCTTTTATACCTTGTTTTAGAATCTAATCGATCTTTAAGGAATTTATTCCTAACAATTTGGGTTTTCATTATGATCCGGATCCAATTGGAAACCCGTTTACTTGACCGTAAATGAGGAAACCCATTATTTGACCGTAAACGAGGGAATTTATCATTTTGACCGTAAACGTGGACCGTAAACAGGGAATCTTGACTTTGACCGTTAATGGTTGAAGTTTGACTCTGACCGTAAACGTTTTAGTCAAAAGAATTTTGTTTGACCGTAAACGCTTGGTCGGAAGGAAGTTATTATTTTTAATAAGAAGTTATTATTCTTAATAATTAAACCTTGAATCGAAATCAATAGTTTTGGACAAATTTTTATATATAAGTTTTAATCTAAACTTTTATTATTCTTTCTTGACTTGTTTTGTGCAGATAAATGGCAGATCAGTTAAAGTTCTATGAAAATCATAATGTTGTTGGATTTGTTATGGATCCTCCTACTGCTCCTCGAGAATTCAAATCCATGACTGTAGGCTTAAATAATTGCAAAATTTCTCACGCTTTACATTCAAATCCAGTCGTTTTCAAGGACCTAATTGCTGATTTCTGAAAAAAAAATGCTTCTGTCAGTAACCAGGGTGCAGATGGAGCTGACATTATTGAGTCAGTGGTGAAGGGAACTAAAATAGTTATCTCTGAGCAAATTATTCGAGAAGTGCTTGAATTTGGTGATGCTCTTGCATTTCCAACTGAGTACCCTGTTAGTAAAGTGAAGGAGGTGCTTGATAAAATGTGCTATGAAGGAACTTATCCTCCAACTATCAAGAAGCAGTTGCCACCTTATTGGAGGTTTCTAGCACATTACTTTATAATTTGCATATCTGGAAGGAAGTCGGGGTTTGATGAGATTTCTCAGGCTGCGACCTCAGCTATTGTTGCTCTAACAATGAACTGGGATTACAACTTTTCAAAGTTTATCTTTGAAGAAATGAAAAGAAATCTTCAGGGGAAGAAAATGGATCAATTCTTCATGTATCCCAGGTTTCTTCAAATGATCTTCAATGAAAAATATTCCCAAATTGAGAGGTCATCTGACACTTTGGATATGAAAGCTTTGGGTCCCAACACTTTTGGACACATGAAGCAATCTAGAAAATCAACTAACATCACCTTTCAAGGAGTAAAAGAGTTGGTTAAATTTGGAAAGTTTGCAAAAACGGAAGGTGTTCAAGCTTCTAGTGTTCCAATTGCGATAGTAGCTGAAGAACATGTAGCTCCAGCAAGACCAAATCTCAGTTCTTCGTTTAAGGTCTCAGATAGTGACAATGACAATGATACTGATGATGATGTTGGTGATTCTGATGATGATGATGATGATGATAGTGATAGTGATGATGGAGTGGATTTTCGTATATATGTACCACCGAAGGAGCCAGTTAGTAAGGATGTGGATACTCCAGCTGAGACTGAAAAGGATGTAAATATTTTCAAGCAGTCAAACGATCCCACACCCGAATAGATGGATGCTCTCATTGCCCAACTATAGTCAACTGCAAGGAAGCCTCCCCAAGAAGTTCATGTTATTTCTAATTTTCCATCTGAGAGTGATAAAATTGATTCAGACGCCTCCTTAGTGCCAAGAAAGAGAAGACATAAAGATCCAAGGCTGGGAGTATTTATTTCTGAACCAGTACAATCATTAAGCCCTACTGTAGATGCAACCCAAGTCTCTCAAGATGATCAAAGCCCTTCTGTAGAACCAATCCAGGTTTCTCAAGATGATCAAAGTCCTACTATGGAGCCAGCCCAAGTCGTTCAAGAAGATGTTTAGAGCCCAATTGTTGAACCAGCCCAGGTTCATGATAATGTTCAAAGTCCAATTTTTGGCGAAGGTTTAGATTTTCTTGCCAATAAAGAAACGTTTGCCTCGGGAAGTTCTTCCGCTCCACCACCTCCAGAGCATGATGTCGCATCTGTCAAGCTAGCCATGATACTTGCTTTTCAAGACTCTATTTCTCAGTCCAAAGGAAAAGGGTTATCTATTGGCTCCAAACAAGGGAGTGATGAAGATTCTCATCAAATCATCTCTGAGCTCAAACAAGAGATTGTAATTTTGAGGGAGGAGTCAACGGAGAAGGACTTTTTAATTGGTAATCTGGATGTAAGAGTATCTAGTCTTGAAAAGTAGAACTCTATTAAAGATGCGAAGATTTCCGAACTTCAAGCAAATCTTGGTGGTATAACTGCTTTATTCTTTGACCTGAAACAACGCTTACTTGAGAAGTTTGTTGATGATTTTCAACCCCTGAGCGCTGAAGGTGAAAAGATTTCTTCCTCTACTTCTAATCCAGTTAATCCACCTTCTCAATGTGAAAGTGAAAGAGTTGTTAGACCTGCACCGGACACGAATCTTGACACTTTTTTATCTTCTGGTCCTTCTTTTTCTCAAGAAAGAAGAGAGAAGCAAGCTCGAATTGAGGAGCTGAAAGGGAAGATGTTAGTAATGAAGCGTTCAGATCAGAATGTTTCAGGTGATCACCCTGAAATGTTTTTGAGAGAAACTGGGAAGAAATTTACTGACAAGTATGGAGATTGCTTTGGCATTTTGATGTGGGGATATGATGCTGATAGGAAAATGTGGGTTGTGAAGCGAAAGAGAAATCGAATTGAGTACTATGAGAAGCCATCTGACTTTATGTCCTGGACAAAAGTTGATCTTGCTGAACTTATTCACGCTCCTTTCAACAATCCAACTAATGACTCTGTGGCCTGGGATTTTAAGAGGTTTCTTGAGTCTCAAGTTAAAAATAAATTTGAAGGCATGAAGACTGCTTCATCGTTCACGAGAAAGGCTAAAGATGTCATTGATCCTCGAACTAATAAAACCATGTTGAATCTTATGTGGCCACCTACAAAGAAAGTTTAAAGGATTCTGGTTCCTAAACGTGTACCAGAAGGCACTTTGGACTCAATGCAATTATGGGTTTATGATGAGGTTACCGCGTCGGCCATGATCAAGTTGAAAAAGGGCCAGTATTGCCTTGTCGATCCCAAAGACTTTTTAAAATGTGGAGAACGTGATATTCATACTTTGTCACATTTTCAGCTTATTGCTCAAAATGAATTATTTGAAGTTGCTGGCAAAAGTTTCACTGGAATGGTTGCAACTATAATTGACAAGAAGCTGTGGGCTGGGACATTCGATCAATTTGATGTTCATATTATAGACAAGCTTTAAAAGCAGCTAGCAATAAACCAAGGGGGAGATTGTTGGGTTATATTTTTGTGGTTTATGCTGGACTTATAATGTTCCTATTCTTGGGCTTAGAATGTTAGTATGTTAATGGGCCTGTATATGTTCACGGTTGGCTGAACCGTGAAAACTTAGTGTTTACGGTCTTGATGGTTTGGGCTTTTTCGGGATTGTACTGATATATATATATATATATATATATATATATATATATATATATATATAGAGGTATTCAGTCGTGAACTAGTTCTTCATTGTTTTGTTCACGGCTGGAGTTAGAGCTTTGGTGTACCAGACGATTTATTGTTAATAGAATCGTGTGCATTGAGAGTTATTTTGTGTTCTTGAATCTCTATTTGGTTTACATTCCTTATTCTCTAAATAGATTGATTGATATCATATAAGATCCATAGTTTTGGTACTTACAATCAATAAAAGTGACTACATACTTTTTATTTCGCAAAGAAGAAGTGGAGTGAAAATCACACAGGTCACTGTGTACAAGTTCCAAAATAGCTGAATTTCCAATGACACAAGGAAAGGGTTGTTTTGTCACTTTTGTAAGCATGCATGTTTTGCATTTATCAGATGTAATATCAAAGGCTGGAATTAATCCATCTTTTGACATATCATGCATCATTCTAAAGTTGACATGACCTAATCTTACATGCCAAAGCAAATATTTATCAACATTAGAAATAGAAGTTACAAATGCAGAATTTTGAACAGGTAATAATATTTCAATAATATTTAAACGAAACATTCTATTATTTAAATATCCAAAGCCAACAAACATTCCACCCCTAGACGAAATAAATTTATCTGACTCAATAACTTGTTTAAAACCATCAGAATTCAAACAACTAGAACTAACCACATTCTTTCGAATCATGGGACAAAACAAACATCATAAAGTCTAATCGTCTTTCCAGAAGTAAATTCAAGACACATGACACCAAGACCACAAATAGGAATAAAATAATCGTCTCCTATTTTCAGCACCGATCCATCTTCAAGCGGAGTTTATGTTTCAAACATCCGTTTATCCTTTCATACATGGTTCGTTGCCCCGGAGTCGATCCACAAAGCAACATCATCATCCTGTACATAGAATGATTCATGAATGAATGAAACATAGTAAACATAATGCTGATTAGAATTATCAATGTTAGTCAAAAACTGACCTCTTTTTACTTGGGCCAAAGACCCGTTCACCTTCCCATTGGCTCTACTGTTTCCAGCACCATTATTGCTTAGATTCACACGACAATCATGCTTGCAATACCTAACTTGATTGCACCTCCAACAAACCAAATCCTTTCCCTTTTTGTTGGAGTTGCTTGGGACATGTCCGTGCTTACATTTTCCATGTCCTTTGTGGTTCTGATTCCTTGGTTTGTTTTCAACCATATGAACCGAGGGCTGTCCAGGTTCAACTTTTCCTTTGGGCTTATCAGATTTGTCACTTTCCTTCGCACGAAGAGATTCTTCAATACAAATGTGACTAGCAAGTTGATCCAAAGACAGTTCCTCCTTTTGATTTTTTAAGTTATGTTTGAAGTCTTTCTGGGATGGAGGCAGTTTTTCAATGATGGTTGACACAGCAATGGATTCATCCATATTCATACGGTGCAGTTTAAACTGACCGTATATGCCAAGGAGTTCATTATATTGTTCATTAGCAGACCTTGAATCCTCCATTTTATAATTATTAAAGTCACTAACTGGAAACTTCTTGCTAAAAGCATCCTCCGTGATATATATCAATTCAAGGGTGTCCCATAACTCCTTGGCACACAAGGCTTCACTATGGATATGAAATAAAGCATCAGACATACCGTTCACAATGTGACCTTTGCAGATGTAGTCAACGTTGTCCCACTTCTGTCTCCTCTTTATCTCTTCAATTGTCTCATCAACACCTTCCTTAGGCTCCGTTAGTCTTGGAGTAGTCAGCACGTATGCTGCTTTCAGAATAGTCAAAATGAAATGCATCTTCTTCTTCCAACGCCTGAAGTCGACGCCTTCGAGCTTCTCCATCTTTGCGAACTTCGTGTTCATCTCGCGGATTGAATCTCTCATCTCCAGAAACAGGAAGATATCAGTTCGATTGTTGGAGAATATAGGGTTTAAGTTGGAGATCTGGATATCACTTGGATCGTGAGAACACTTTCCAAACTGATATTTCTACCCTACGCCTGGGTTGCAAGAAATTCAGCCTAGGATAATCCAAGTGGACACTTACGACTTCTGTGCCTAGAATCGTAAGTGTCCACTTGGATTATCCTAGGCTGAATTTCATGCAGCGCAGGCATAGGGTAGAAATATCAATTCGGAAACTGTTCTCACGATCCAAGTGATATCCAGATCTCCAACTCTAATCCTATATTCTCCAACATCCTCTCTTTTCACTTGTATCCATGCTGCATCTTCCTCAATTAACTGCATCACTAATTCAGCCCCAACACACACACACACACACCAGCGCTCACTATTTCCGCAACCCAACCTCTCATTAAAAAACTGCTCAGCAAATTGAGGCCATGTGATCATCGGTACACCCGTAGAAATCCCTTCAATAGTCGAATTCAGCAAATTGAGGCCATGTAATCATTGGTACACCCACAGAAATCCCTTCAATAGTCGAATTCCATCCACAGTCAGTAAGGAATACCCCTACCGAAGGGTGGGACAAGATTAGAACCTATGGGGCTCACCCATGGATCAAAACACCTCTTCCTTTCACTCTCTCTTCAAACCCATCTTCCACCAACCATTTTTCTATCTCTTGTGTCCGACTCCCACCTTTCACATCTAAAATAAATGGGAATTCCAACTCTTCTAACCTAGAGCCAGTTCGATAAACTGTGGTGGTTTGAGCCGTGTTAGGCTCCCTAGACACACGTAAATCACACTCCCTGGTTTCTAACAATTGATCCAAATGATGCACATGTGGTTTGTAATCGAACCATTGGTTTTCCACGTTGAGCTTTGTCTAAATCGTTCTTGTTACTTTGTGAAAACGACCCTATACACTAAACTTTTTGCTTCACTTTCCGATATTCATCGTATATATATATATATAGATATATATATATATATATATATATATATATATATATATATATATATATTATATATATAGATATATATCTACTTTCCAACTCCTCAAAACTAGGGGTGTTATTCGGTTTGGTTTTCAGGTTTTTGGTTAAAACGGTTCAGTTTTATCGGTTTTTTTACATTTTAAATATAACTATAACCAAACCAAATAAGATTCGGTTTAATCGATTTCGGTTTATTCGGTTATGGATTATTCAGTTCAGTTTAACGGTTAAACCGAATAAAATTCAGAACGTAAAAATAAATATTAAACTAAAAGAAAAAAACTTACTAGACTATTACCAAACAAAGAAACTACATTAATATATAAAATATTATATTCAAGTTGTAGAGATAGGTTAATATAATTTTAGTCGTATATGAAAATGAAAGAAACGATTAAATGTTATTTGGTTAATTTGTCTTTGCTTTTTAATACAAAATATAGAACAATTATAACTTTATAATGGTTAATACCTAAAAAAGTCATGGAAATCTTAGTAACTAATCAATAAATTTATACATAAAATGTTGATATATATATAATTTAAATCGTGTTATGTAATTTAAAAGTTAATAATATTATGAAATATTATGTGAAATTGAGTGTTGAGTTCTAACAGATAGTTTTTACTAGAAATGAAGTAAAACTATGTTTACAATCACTCATAAAATATTGGAAGTCTTATGAGATTCCAATTAAAAACCAAATACTGAAATTTAGCAAAAATATAAAATTTGGAATAAGTAAAATTTTATTATTGAAAGTTGTAGATAATCTCGTTAGAAACACGTAGGCGAAAACCTCATCGAAATCCGAGTTATAACGAAGAAGTTATGACCAATCGAAGATCCGCGATAAAACCGACACGGTGCCGAATGACGTAAAAAGTGAGTTTTTGATAAACTTTTTTTTAGCCTTAGTGATCTAAATGAAAGTCGTAGTATTCGTTAAACCGAGAATTTCGATAAAAAGAACGCCAAAATCTGACTTCGTATGAGGAAGTTATGATTTTTTACAAGTTTCAGCTTAGTAGTAGACAGTTAAAAACTCGAATTTTAGATCGAGTGATTTTTAGCCGACACAACCTAAATGAGAATCGAAGGTCTCGTCATTAGTAGTACAACGGTAAAAAGTCTGAAGAAAACAGACATCGGATGAAGAAGTTATGAATTTTTAACGGATTTACCAGTCCCGGTCTGTTAAAAATAATAATATAAAAATAAAGTCAAAATTTTCCGACGAAGTCTAAACGAAAGTTGTAGAGCATAATTTTCTCTACGCGTGCATAT